GTGTGTGTGTGAGAGAGAGAGAGAGAGAGAGAGAGAGAGAGAGAGAGAGAATCCATGCTTTTTACTAAATTAATCCAAAAACTGAAGTAGAGGTTTTTCATGGGAAAACATGAAACAAAATGGTATAATTCAACTGAATCCTCCTCAAAGTTCAAATCGGTAATAATAATCTCAAAAAGGTTACCAGTAAGATTTCACATTTCCATTCACTTCTCTTCGGAGTTGGATCTCTCAAAAAGTGTCTTTTTCAACCAATCAAAAGGCTGTACATATTCAAAAATGACATGAAGATCCAAGTTAGTTGAATGTAAAATGAGACAGATAAAAAATAAATAAATAAATAAAAATACAGAAGATGAAGAAGAAACTGAGAGGGAGCACGTTTTAATTAAATATTGCACACTTCAGAGACCAAAATCCGTGCACAAATCATTAATCATCTATCTTGTGCCAAAGACAGGGAGGCAGAGAAATGCTTGCTAATAAAATACCAATTAGATAACAAACTCACTCCAAACAAACTGAAACTCCATAGGCAAACAAGAAAATAAAGTAACAAAACACGTATAAAGTAATCTTCGAGAAGCCATCCAGAGCTTGGGAAAGCTGCTCTGTCATTTGAAAAACAACATTTAGAGCATAATTAATTTATTTAGCTGAAAAGTAGGTTTTACATTTTTCTTATTGAGCAGAAAAGGTCTAAATCATTTTTTTTTTTTTTTCATTTTCGAAAGCAGCAGATCATGCTTTTAAGTAATCTTTTGTTTCCAAACATGCTTGATGATTATAAAAAATTAAAAGTACAGTTACAGTTTTTCTCAAAAAAGTTAATTCACTTATTTTCAAAGGTGACCAACAACAACTTGTTTATTTATTTCCAATGGACTTTTTAAGCTTATCCAAAATGCATGGTGTGCCCCTTCTCAAGAACTTCACATGATAAATCTATCCATCAATGTCAATATCCTCAAAAAATCCTAAAATTAATTAAAATGTTTTGGTGTACCTTACAATTGTCTCTACAGATTCTCTGAAACAGTCCTATCTAATTATCAATAGTTTTAATTGTCCTCTCATACAAGATAAAATTAAACATTCAATAAAATTTTGAAGACCAATAGGCAGTGGTTAAAAAATTTATCCAAAAAATAAATACATAATAAATAAACCACACACACACACACACACACACACATTTTTAATCAATTGAATCTATTCAACATTTAAGTGTTACCACTTCAAAGGGAAAGATCCACCTTCAAAATTTTATGTGGATCCATCTTTACTCATTAACTAAAAGAGAAAAAAACAGGCATTGGAATTTTGAACTATCTATGTCTACATACACAATAAGGGGGATGCAAAAAAAAAAAAAAAAAAAAAAGGTGTTGGGGAGAAATAATAAATATCAATAAAATTCACATTAAAGACTGCAATATTGCAAGTATTTCAATTTAAAAATGAACTAAATTAATGTTTTGAGCTTTGAAAGTTTGGAGAGGAGACGAGTTGACTTCAGAACCATCAAAAGAGTAAAGTATGAATGCAGTTTGATTGCAAGCAGTACTAAGCATTGATAAGAAATTTCTAATTATTCCAACCACAGTTTCTGATTATCCTAAAATCATACTAGGAATTTTTATTACAGAGACAGTTTCCAAACCTTAAGTTCAACATCATCAAGCAACAATCTATAATGTTCCACACCTGAACTCAGATTAAGCATCCACTCATCCACCGATGATATCAAAATGTTGATTAAAAAATGGTTACAGTCATTTTCTGGTCAGTTGAGTAACATGTGGTTTACTTTATGTTTTATATGGTAACAATATTTCTTAATGTTTGTGGGATTGATGGCGGCAATCTCAATGAGACACCAAACATAATAAGTTTGGAGACACATTTCAGCTCAAAAAAAGATTAAATCAAATACTATGTTTCATCTAATATCGAGTTAATTGTTCCAATGGTCACTGAACTTAAATTCATGTCGTTGACTGGTCACTGAATTTATGTTAATATCTTCGATTGCTCATTGAACTTAGTTTCATATCTTTGATTGGTCATTGAAATTTAAAATGTCGAGTTTTGGTCACTGAACTTAGGTCCATGTCTTAGATTACTCACTGAAATTTAAAATGTTTTGGCCACGTAACTTTGGAATATGACGTAGGTTACTCACTAACATATCTGTTAAACTTTCAAAAATATTGAATTTACAGTGAATAATGTATAGTATTTTCTAAAATTATGTATAGCATTTTCTAAAATTCAGTGAGTAATGTATAATATTTTTCAAAGTTCAGTAGTTAAAATTTGACATTTTAAATTTCAGTGAGCAATAAAAGATATGAACTTAAGTTCAGTGATCAAAACTCAGTATTTTAAACTTCAGTGTGATCAAAACTCAGTATTTTAAACTTCAGTGATCAGTCAAAGGCATGTACTTAAGTTCAGTGACCAAAATTCGACATTTTAAACTCAAAAACATGGACCTAACCATTGGAACACTTAACTCTCAGATATCCCATATCCATGATATGAAATCTTCCTTCAATAAAGGCCAAACACGAAATAAGATACACACATATTAACCCATACTATTAAGAATGACATACTAAAAACTGCTTTCGAGCCATAAAACGTTTCCATCTTTGTTCATCTGGCATATGACCCTTGGTATTGAATCGAACAATGATTCATATTTTAGAATTTGATCTTTTCCAAAAATTCAATTCTACATAAAGGAAAAGGAACAACTTTATTAATAAAATGCATCACACAAAGAAAATCAAGCAATTTCCATAAAACAAAATAAGGGGAAAAAAAAGTCATTGCCACACATTGATACGGAAATCCCATTGAAAGCTAAAACATAAGATCTAAGATGAATCAGAAATAACACACAAAAATAAACCAACATTGGTCAAACAAATTAATAATATAGTGTCAAAATCAAGCAAGATATTAATCAAAGATATAGATCTATAACACGCGAGAAATGGATTTAAAGGTGGATAACGGAGACCTGGATGATCCACAAGGCTGAGGTGGTGGCGGTTACACCCCACAGGGCAGCAGCCTGGATGTCCGTGGCCTGAGGGCGCATACTGGGCCTGAGGAACTTGAAGATTCCCGATCCTGAAGTAACTGGATTGGCCATTAAAAACCCTAGATTATTGAATTCGCTGTGTGTGTTTTCGCGTTTACTCTGTGTTTATGGAGGGCGACGTCAATGAGAATGATAGAAATTCCACCAGGAAATAAATGAATAAATACGTTATTTGAGTGAAAAATGTGAAGTTTTCTTTATTTAGCTTTTGATTTAATTAAGCCCCGTTTGGCCCCATTACGTAAAAAAATTAATGGATAGAATAATATTTTTTTGAAAAATGAGTGATTGAAAAAGAAGAAAAAAATTTCGATTTACGTATAATATTATTTTATGGAAAATTATGTGGTTGAAGATAGGAATGAGAAAAATAAAATGTAATGTAATAAAAATTAATGGAGCTCGAACGGGGGCTAAATTACTCAAGTTACACATCTATCATTAAAGCCAATTTCCGTGACAAAAATGCCTACATAACAAATTACATGGAGATAAAATGTGTAAATAACAATAAAGTCACGAGTATAGAAAAATTTTAACAGAATTCGTATCGATACTGATGTGGTAAAATATGATTGGACTAATTTTATTCTTTTTTTCCTTTTTTTTTTCCCATCTTTCAATGATATCGTGCCATGTGTTGTCTATAAGATTTTTCTGTCTGAAAATTCATTACCTATAGTATCGTTCGTGTAAATAATATACACGTCATCTAAAAGTATTAATTTTTAAAGAAGTAAAAAACCTGAAAAATCAAAACCACGTTTCCTCTCTACTCAATATCCAATTTTTCCAATTCCAAATCACATTCCTCTTCAATGGATCAAAATGTTCACCCCAAATCACATTCCTCCCCAATTCCAATCCTAGATAAGTTTTTTCAACGCTAATCATCTGTGCTGATTCTGTCGGAATCATTAAAGGCGACAACGCATGAGGGACTGAGTGCAAATTGTGAGCCAGCTGGGTGAAGAAGCCAGCTGAGTGCAAATTGTGCAAATTTGTTAATAAAATAATGTAAATTATATTGAGAAATTTGTTGTGAAAAAATAATAAACATAAAAGAAATATTAAAATTTTTTAAAGGAAGGGTGAGTTAGACGTCTTTTCTTAGAGACCTACGTTTGATGCACGTTTCACTATTTTCAATATCCATTTAGACTATTCGATATGACTACTATGTAGTTCTCGAAATGAGCTTCTAAGTAACATAGGCGATCTTTGAATTAGGACATAGTACGATCTTTGGCGAATTTTTAAAATTAGCATATTATCTAAATTTTCAAAATACTAGTTTGGAATGGTCTACTTTGATGCATTGAAACTTTTGTTGTGGTTGGGCGTTTCACGTGCCATCAATAAGCAAAAGATTAAGCAGTAAGCACTTCGAAATGATATCAATAATGCAATATTTTGATTTCGTTTGACATTTTCGTAACGAGTGTGTCAAAGTAAGCCTTGAAGAAAACGATTACAAATTTAAAAAACAAAAAAAATAAAAAATAAAAATTGTGGGGTCAATTGACCCCACACGACATCATGTGGATCTGCTCATGCTCCATTCCCAGCATTGCTAAGTATCATCCTAAAGTAAAAAAAAAAAGGTTGAACCCCAACCTTAAGGGCCCCCACCGACCCTGCCCTGGGCCATCGTGGAGGAGGTAAATCGCAGGATGTGCCTCCCAGGAGCCAGGGTGGAGAGCACATGGATAGGCCAAGGCTGTTAACCCATATGGTAACTCCCGCTTGCAACAAAGCCAATTCCACCTTGCGGGGAATCGAACTCTGCACACTACCGCGCTGAGCCCTATCCGCCCTCCCCTTTGCCACTGGGAGATATGCCCTGGGGGAGAGAAATGAAGGGAAAGGTCGGGAAAGGGAACAGAATGGGTAGAAGCCAACAAGAGGGGGGGTTTAGAGGTGGAACAAGACGTGGTTGGCAATAGGGAAAGTAGCTGACAGGACAATAACAATTAATTGAAGACTAACTTGCGACAAATTTGAAGAGTTGATGTTGATGTTCGATCTTCCATCTCACTAAGGAGGGATTAGAGGATCAGAGGCCAACATCGAGGAAGGTCGAACACATGGAAAGATAGATACAGCTCAAACAATGGCCATCGTTATAAGAGGAAATATCATGCTTCACCCCTAACAAACTGTCCTCGCCTAACCATCACACACTCCTTGAATGACATTTGGCACCTGTGGCATCAGCACCTTCTTTTTGGCTATCACAAGCCAGGAATGATTACCCAACCAGCTTGGTGCCATAGCTGCAATCCAAGCGTGATATGGTCTACGTGGTTTACCTAAGCGACCAATCAAGAGATTGAGATTTTGGATGGTGATGCACAATCTAGGGTGACGCTATAACTGATGTGACATAGGATGGCCAAATTGCCTTATTTAATGATCCCCCAAGGATCGAACTCAATGTATTCTCTCCAATACACTCCAAACTTTAATCAATGAAATTATCCTTCAATTTCCTAAATTCTAGCAATCACTCTACTTAATTATCATTATGCTAGTAAATAATTTTAGAATAAAGCCAATTGTCTAACCTTTGTTGACAACTAGTTTGACTATCCATGTGTCGTCAAAATTTCGATCATTGATTTCAAAAATAGTTTTTTAAATGAATGGATATAATGTTTGACAAGTCAGATTGTAAACGAAATTGTAGATGGGATTGTACCAGTAGCAACACAACCACAAAAATTAATCATGGAAAGATAAAAGTTGAATAATGTTGTTTTTACGTCTGAGTTGACACCTCGGATGACACTCTACACACATGAGGGTGGGGGCCAGCCTAATAAAATAATCGCAACTCCACCACTATGTGTGTGGAGTGTCATTCAGGATATCAACTCGAATGTACACATTGTAAAACTATAAAAAGATCCAAGTAATTAGCGAACAAAATGGGGTTGTGGATAGTTACATAGAAGTAACTATGCAAAAAATAATAATAATAAAATAAAATAAAATTGCCATGAAAATATGCAACAAATCTGACTTCCAAGACCAAAAAAATTCTAAATCCAGCTGAGACTTCAAGGATTTAATGGCTTGTTGTTTTACTTTGAAGTGAAGCGTACGTTTTATACTTCATTTTTTCATGTTTAATATACTAAGAGTCCATGTTAATCTACATCAATCACGTTTCACTACTTTAGTTTCTCATTAAAGTTACTGATAGATATTGATATGGTCCATCTATTTACCTCGACCTCTTATTCCCGATGACTCCCGGAACCCAGTGGTCAAAAATATATTCGTCGGGTATTCCCGAGGACATGGAATATATCCGCGACCTCTCTCCTGATCATACCATGAGGTCGGGAAGTGGAGTCCTCGGTATTTATGTCCTCATGCCCTTTCACCTCAACGATACCACGTCCTCCTACGAACAGTGACGTGTAACACTTGATACCCCACAAGACTTCTAGATGTAAGAGAAGTTTATTGTTGTTAGACTTGTACTGATCCCACACTTGTTATGCATGTCAAACATCCACCTCCGATAGGATTCTACGGGATGAAGATTCCCCAATTGTTCAAACCTAATAGGATTCAACCACCTAACACTATAAATACATGGTTTCACCTCATCATTCAGGTACTTTTTTATACAATTTTTAGTCCATAGCCTCACGCACATATTTTAACTTAAGCATCGGAGGGGCGACGAGGACACACCTCGACGCCTTTGTTTCAGGTACAGAAAGAACACGTTCGTGCTCACCACCAGTCGTCTAACTCGGAATTGCTCAGGTACGATTTTTGGTAGCATCAGATATAAATCAACAAGAACCTTAGCAACTAAATAAATCACGTTGGGTCGACTATTTTCATCATGTCACTCTTACGGATAAACCTCTTTAGATGAAAGAGAAACTTGTCAAATCCCTGTAATTATAACATTTACTCTGTTAATTAATAACTAATCCTCAATTAACTAGTTTACTTCAAGCTGTAAAACATAACTGTTATTCATCAGGAAAATCTTCGAACACTGGTCACCGAGAAAATTCTTCATGGTCCAAACAATATTTTATTTCAAGAGGGCCAGGTTCTCTAGGGGACTCTTGAATACGAAAATTTACTAGGAATTAGACCAATGACTTGGTCATAGTGTCCTAAAGCTTCTTCCACTCGACGTGTTCAAGAGGCAAATACTCTGAAAAAAACTTCTATACTTGCCAGAAAGGCATCAACCCAGAAACACACATCTTGATCTTTTTCTTACCCCTTTAAAAGCAACATTATATATATGTACCATCAACACTTTTCAAATCCAAATTACACCGCCTAGAACCCGGGAAAGAAAACTCGAAAAGCATGGAAGAAACCATGGTATTAATGTTGTATGGATCTAAGTTGGCTAAAGATATTGAAGAAAACCTACCAAATTTATGTAATCAACCTGATATTCTTGTAAAATCATGCGATGGAATCATTGGTGTATTCAGTAACCTTAAAGAGTTACTGTCTCATGGACACATGATTTCTGGGGGGTCCCAACCCAGAAACACACATCTTGATCTTTTTCTTACCCCTTTAAAAGCAACATTATATATATGTACCATCAACACTTTTCAAATCCAAATTACACCGCCTAGAACCCGGGAAAGAAAACTCGAAAAGCATGGAAGAAACCATGGTATTAATGTTGTATGGATCTAAGTTGGCTAAAGATATTGAAGAAAACCTACCAAATTTATGTAATCAACCTGATATTCTTGTTAAATCATGCGATGGAATCATTGGTGTATTCAGTAACCTTAAAGAGTTACTGTCTCATGGACACATGATTTCTGGGGGGTCCAATGAATTACAACAAACTGACAACATTGGTGCAGGAATTCAAGAATGGTTAAAAACTGGTGGCAACTGTTATCATCAGGCAATGGATTTGCATAATGCTCAAACAGTTTTGGGCAATTATCCGAGAACGTATGGCTTCTCGGAAAGTTGTACTAACATGAAAGTTGTATTAGGACGGCAAGAATCAGGTTTAGAACTCATGATCAGTGGAAGAAATGTGGAAAGTTCTGTGGGTGGCATTGGAGGGGAGATCATTCAGCCAGTAGATGTGGATGCATCAGATTCCGGCAGAGCTTCGTCTTCTCAATGCAAGAGAAGAAGGTAACAAATTTTCAGCTTTTAAAATGTTTATTGCAATGTTCTTATTTTTGAACCACCAAAATAATGTAAAATCTTATGCCATTTGAGAAGCTTTTAGACGATGGTTCAACATTTTTTGGATCAAACGTCCATGTTATTTACATATTTTTGAAAATTATACACGTGTTAATTAGAAAATAATGTTTTTCATTTTGAAGGAAAATTGAAATATTCTAGTAATATGTACGTGTATATGTAACACTCATTTTAAATCATTCTTGAACTTTAAAAATTACAAAATATAGTAAGGTATGATCACAAGATAATGGTTTCTTATTTTTGATGATACAGAAAGGATGATGGTCATAAAATTAGAGTCATAAGGGTGGCTGCTCCACAAATGGGAAATCTCGATCTTCCACCCGAAGATGGTTATACTTGGAAGAAATATGGTCAAAAGGAGATTCTTAGATCCAGATATCCAAGGTAATTCTTTCAATCAATGACTTTTCAACTTCTAAAAGTTAAACTCTTAAAGTTTCAACATATGTTCATTATATGAGTATTTATTATTATTATTATTATTATTATTATT